ATATATATATATGTATGTATGTATGTATATATATACATGTGTGTGTGTGTGTGTGTGTGTGTGTATATATATCTCCACAAATCAGATTTTTTTTTTTTTACTTAAATATTTGACAACTTCTATTTGACATCTTGTCTTTCCCAGTGAACGTGGTTATTCTTGTTCTGCTTGTCATCGCCTTTTTAATTATTTTGCATCGGAATCTGCTGAATCTCAATGATTTCCTGAAGCAAGAGAATCCAGGTATGAATATATTCATGTTAGTGAAGTTTAAAAGTTTTCTTTAGCACCATGAAATGCACCCCCTCGCTGATTTTCCTGTGCGTTTGCAGACACAGCGCCTGGGATGGTGCTGCCCTTTGAGACGGACTTCCTGTCGGATCATAAGGTCATCAGGACAGGAGATGAGATTCCAGTGGTCATCACCGCTCCAGAGGAGAGACTGGGAGCTGCTGTCACTGCCATGAACAGCATCTACCGCAACAGCAAAGCCAATGTAGTATTCAATATAGTGACACTAAATGAGTCGGTGGTCCATCTTAGGTACACCTTGTATTGCATTACAGCGGTTTATTAAAGTATGTAATGTTTCATGATTAACATGATTATTTCTCATTCCAGAACATGGTTGAGTAAGACCGACTTGAAGCACAAAATTATCGTATTTGATCTGAAGATCCTCACAGGAAAGATTCCTACTGATCCTCAGAAGGTGGAGGCAGTGAAGCCGGTAATCAATCGCAAGTGCTTCTATTTAAATAAGACTGTTTGGTGTTGTGAAAATGGAAATTATGTATCGTAACTATGTATGTATCTTATTTTTCTAGTTGACCTTTGCTAGATTCTTCTTGCCTGTTTTCTTGCCGGATGCAGAGAAAGTAATTTACCTGGATGATGATGTTATTGTACAAGGTAAAGTGCGTAATTTTATAGTTTGTATTTTTTATAAACCCCAGAATTCTAGGGGCATAACCAAATTTTTGTCCAATCTAATAGTCTGTCACTTCCTTGTTGGCTTCACCAGAGAGAGGGGGAGGTTGCCGCTTGACTAGAATAAGAAAAACACCTGTCCTCGCCTCAATTTTTTTAATTTTATTTTTTTATGTATTTTTGAATATGTAACTTTGTGGAGTTATAAATGAGTAATTATGTTTGAAAGAAAATTTGTAGGGCAGTGGTCCAAACTTTTTGTCCTCTAGGCCCACAATGTTCACAGCAATATTTGAAGGCACTGCAACATTTACAGGAATTAGGAGTGCTCATAGATGAAAATATTGAAAATAATATATAATTAAAATGAAAGATTTCCAGAAGTTTGGGGCTCGATTATAATAATAAATATCTAGATTATAAGAAAAATATAAAAAAAGAAATATCTAGATGTGTAGCTATTTTATTGTAAAGCTTGTTTTGTCTTTTCAAAACATTTGAAGTCATCTTGAGCCTCCCTTAGAAGTTTGCTGAGGTCTGAAAATGTAGCTTTCTATATTAAACAATAGTTATTTGTATTTGTTGTCTGTATGCTGCAGAAATAGTAATAGTTTGATACTGTGCAGTTTCCATTCAAATACAGTAAGTAACAGTAATAAGCATTGATTGTATTCTTTTCTGTGGTTTAGGGGACATTCAGGAGCTTTTCGACAGCAGTATTAAGTTGGGACATGCAGCAGCTTTCTCAGAGGACTGTGACTCTGCGTCCTCTAAAGGCATCGTCAGAGGAGCAGGAAATCAGGTACGATCGTACTGTTCTGATCCAGAATTCACACTGTACATAGAAATTCATCAAAATACTATAACTCAGTTGGATGGCGAAGATGCATGGAGAAAAATGAGAATACAGAATAAGATGGGTTTTTTTCTTTAGACTTATTATGCAGTATCTTTCATTATCCAAACACAGCCATATGGTTTTTAAACACATAAACCAGTTTTAACCATAAGAAATTGGTCATACCACTCAGCGACTTTCAAAGAAAGTTTTCAGAACATATATTCCATTACTATTTTATATATTTACGTGGATTTGCATATTTATTTTACATGCAGAACAGCTATATTGCTTTTCTGGACTTCAAAAAAGAGGCGATCAAGAAGCTTGGAATGAGAGCGAACACTTGCTCGTTCAATCCTGGAGTCTTTGTGGCCAATTTAACTGAGTGGAAGCAGCAGAATATCACCAGCCAGCTTGAGTTCTGGATGGAGCGCAGTGCCAAGTTAGTTTGTGTTCTGCTGTTTTATGTTGCTGGAAACTACAACATTCGTTCGTTCAAAAAAATGTTAACGATAGCTACTGTCTTTAACATTTCTGTGAAGTCTTTGAGATGAGATCTTCAACAAATCTGTTGCCAGTTCTAATCCTCTTCAGTCGAGGTCTAGGCCCCTTTGAGGGCTGTCAATGGTTTTGTGGGGTTGTTTTTTGTTTTAGGGAGGACCTTTACAGTAAGACTTTATCAGACAGCATCACAACGCCACCCATGCTCATTGTATTCTACAAGCTCCACTCAAACATTGATCCAATGTGGCACGTCCGACACCTCGGTAAGGAAATGATCAAGGCTGTGGTTCATAAAGGTAAAGCGCCTATGTACATCTCTTAGTAACTAATTGTGTGTGTTTTTTGTGGATATTTATGTTTCTAGGGGCGACAGGAGCTGGTAATAGGCATTCACCTCAGTTTGTTAAGGCTGCCAAACTTCTCCATTGGAATGGACATTATAAACCATGGGGAAGAGCCTCTTCTTTTTCTGACATTTGGGACAAATGGTACATTCCAGATCCCACAGGTAAATTCCACCCAATCCGAAGACACGCTGAGGAAAAATAAACTCTGGTCTGGGCTACATGAAAGGAGGAGGAGGAAATGTAATCGCTTTGCTGGATGGACTTTCTCGCAGATATTTGACTTTGTTCAAAGATGTTTAAAGGGATGTCTGGATGCAAAATATGGGGCCTTCATGAAACCTAAGAGTACCCAAGTTACTGGGACCAACATTGGAATGGAACAACAGCCAAGAGGCTACATTCAACACCAATGCACTACCTCAGCGTTCACTGTCAAATTCTTAATAACACTAAACCATTTAGGGTACAACTTTAAAATCTTCGTTTTGTATACTACATCCATGCAAGTGTCTAGATTTTTTTTTTATTGGGTGAAACTGTGGACCCACTTCATTCCAAATTGAATTTTCCATTTCATTATTAAATATTTTAGACTGCTTTAGGGCTTAAGACACAAACCTGTGACACTTGACGTTTCAGAATTTCTGTATTTAACACTACAGGAGCCACTTTCCCCTTCTGTTACGTCTTCAGTGTTGTTTACTTTTCTATGGATGCATGTTTTGTTTTTGTTCCACGTATCTCTCCACGTATCAGCTGTTACTCAGCATGCCAACTTCTTGTCCTCAACCCGAAGGGGAAAATATGCCAATTTGTACATGAAAGAAAAAAGTGTTCTAACAAAGTATTGAATAAAGCTCAGTATGTTTTATATGCAATGTAAGAGTATTAACCTTTGATTTAAATAATACATATTTTATTATGTATTAATACAAACAAGCATAGCGATATATTATGCACATCAGTGCAGTGCAGTTTCACAATCTGATTCCTCTCAGTCCACATGAATCTGTGCATGCTGATGACATTTTACACAAAATCTGTGTTGAAATCATATGCGTCGTCATTGTTGTGCTGCACTGAAGTCAGGTCAATGTTGACGGGGACAAACAAAGCTTTTTTAGTTGGTTGGTCTACAGAAGAAAAAAAGACAAAACAACTGAGATTGACAGAAGACAGTTACATTAAGAACAAAGATGAAGTCCATAAGTGCAAATCAGAAAACATACCTTTTCTCTTCTTTGTTGATTCCTGAATCTGTGTCACTGAGGCTGAAAAACAAAAAGTGTGCCAATCAATATTCAACATCGGCCATTTAACTGAATTTTGAGTACTGAAGTTATGTGCTGGGGTCATGACAAGCTCTATGGACAGCAAAACACTGTTGGCTTGTCAATCAAATTGTTAAAAAAATAATACAATTGCATTTACAGTTGGCATAAAATGAAAGTTCACCCTATTTTTGTGCATGCATGAACGATTCATCCACACACATTTTTTTTTTAAATGTTTGACCTTGTAATGTTTAATCAGAATATCATAACTCAACCTTCTGTGTGTGAGTTTTAAACATATATGCAAAATATAGGTCAAATTTAAATGACAAGTTGAAATGTTGGATATGATTTAGCACATAAAACTAATCTAATGCCAACATGTTAAATGCCTTGTTACACTTAAAACTGTGGGTTAAAACATTTTTCCCAATGCAATGCTTTGTGGTATTGTAAAAGCATTACTGTAAACTAGGGCTGGGCGATATAGCTAAAAAATGTTGCAACGATATAATGTTTCATATCGTCCGGTATGGATAATTATTGACATTTTTTATAACCTTTTTTAAAACACAGCAATAGAAAAAAATATACATTTAACCACTGTATTTTTAAATTAACTCATTTTTTTTAGACAAACAACAAATATTTTTTTGTTTTAACAGTCAAAAACAAAAAAATTAAACAAATATCTCATTTCTAATGTTTTATATGCAGATTAAATAGGTTAAACTTTTGCCTTGTCTCCCGAGGCCACAGGAGGGCGCCATGAGCAAAATAATGCAGCACATTAAATTGTCAACGCAAGGAAGTAACTGTATAAAAAAAACCGTGCATTACGTCTAAATGAACTCATATAAATCAAATATAATTTTGTAAATTGCATAAACAATTATGAACAAAACAGCATCACGTAT